CTGGAAACAGATTCTTTTCATTTTCCTTCATATAAGAACATCTTGATTTCCCCTTCACTCTTGAGGGATATTTTCACTGGATTTAGGATCTGGACTGACAGTTCTTTTCTTTCAGCACTTGAGAAGTAATGTGCCACTTCGTCTGGTCCCATGGTTTCTGATGAGAAACCCTCTGCCCTTCGAATGGTTTCCCATATAGGGACTGTGTCATCTCTCTCACTGCTTTCAAGGCTTTTTTCTTTGTCTTTTGATTTCAGGAGTTTTACTGTGCTGTCTTGGGGTCCATTTCTTTGGATTTATCCTTTGAGTTTTGTTCAGCTTCTTCACTCTACAGGCTTTTATGTCTTTTTCCAAATTTAGGAAGTTTTCAGGCATTATTTCATCTATTGTTTCAGCCTGGTCCTCTTTTTCCTCTCTTTTCCCTACATGAATTTCATCATATAGTCCTTCAAATCCCTGAGGCTCTGTTCATTTTTTTCCAGTCTGTTCTCTTCCTAGTATTTGTCTCGGGTGATTTCTTTTGTTCTGTTTTAAAGTTCAGTGGTTCTTTCCTTTGTTCTTTCCATCCTGCTAGGAGCCCATCCAGTGAGTTTTTCATTTTGGTTATTGTATTTTCCAAATGTCCTAAAATAGCCATTGGGTTCTTCTTTACATCTTCCATTTATATGCTGAAAAGTAGTCTGTTGCTGAGACTTTCTGTATTTTCAGTTATTTCAAGCATACCTGTAATTGCTCATTGGTGCATTTTTACGACAACTGCTTTAAAAGCTTTGTCAGATACCTTTAACATCTGTATCATCACAGGGTTGGCATCTGTTGATCGTCTTTTTTCATTTAGTTTGAGATCTTCTTGGTTCTGGGTATGATGAATGATTTTCAGTTGAAACTTGGACATTTTGAATATCATGTTATGAGACTGGATCTTATGTAAACCTTCTGTCTTAGCTGGCTTCTTGTGGCACTGCTTCCGCAGAAAGGGGAGAGGCTGCACACCACCCACGCCCACCACTCCCCCAGCTGCTGGTGGGTGTGAAGTCCAGGCGCCTGTGCTCTCCACTGATGCTATGGGGAGAGGGAGCCCCATTACCATCTGGTAGGGAATTGGCCTTCTTTGACACCAACCCAGCTTGGGAACGTTGTGGGGGCCCCTCCTTACAGTCTCAAAATGGTGGAAGTCTAGGCCCCCCACTCACCCTTTGCTGATGGGGGGAAAGGTGGGCTCCAGTTTTGCGTGGTGTTTGGATGGTAGTTATAGTCTGAATGTTTTTTGTCCTAGGCACTGGGGATGCAGCAGTAGATTAAAAATCAAAAACTGCTTTCAGCGGCATTTCATTCCAGTTGAGGGAGAGAGACATTAAGTAAAATACTTAATATTTCAGTTGCTGTCACACGCAGGGCAGAGATCGAGTACAAGTTGAGACAGACTTGCCTGCTATAAATAAGATAATCCGGGAAGGTCTCATTGCTCAGGTGATGTTTGAGCAAAACCCTGAAGGACCTGCAGAATATTGGGGAACTGACTTTCAGGCAGAGGGCACAGCCTCCCTGCCCTCGGTTTGCTGTGCATAAAGCGAGGGTAGTTGTGCTTTCAACAGTGTGAAGAGGTGAAAATAACGGATCTGAGAGCCTCACTTGGGCTGGTGTGTGCACTTAGGGCAACGTGAGCTGTTTGTTATCAGGGTTAGTCTGGTGATTCCCAGGTTCCAGGCTTGGAGAGTCAGGTGATGTGCTAAATAGATAATTTACAGGCAGGGGCAGGGTTAGTGGGTTGAACAAACTCACTTTCAGATCTGTTGAGCTTATGGTTCACACAGACTTCTCCAGTGTAGACACATGGTCTACCCTGGAGGCAGGCCTTTATTTCTTCAACTGGTATTGGTGATCAGCTGCTGTGGTACCCAAAAAGGATTAAGACGGGGTCCCAGCATGCAGGGAAAGCAGCTGTGGGTTGTTATTACAGCGAGGGGCCGGGAACATAAGGGCTGTCAGGAGCAGAGAGGGTGGGCAGTTCCTGGGCATTGTCCTTCAGAGGAAGCCGTGTGGCTGTGGAATAAATGGGAGTTGGGAAGCCACAGGTGGCTCCCAGGTTGTCAACCTGGGGTCATGCAGCAGGGCAAGGAGGAGAGTTCGGGGGACATGTCTGACCACCTTGCACACTCTCCTTACAGACTTATGGAGAGATTTCTCATGGATGGATTGTATCCTTCAAGGTTTGAAATGCTCCTTGTTCCTGTGGCCCTTCCCACCCTCATGCCAACTCAACCCCACTGCCCACCCCTTTGCTCCAGTGGTCAAGGGAGGAGAGATAGGTGAGTGAATGCACCGGTTCCATTCAGGCTGGTTTCTTGCCGACTGACCCATGTGGCATTGCACATCATCGATGCAGCATGTTCTGGAGCTCACTCATTTGGATTGGCGTTGTATTAGGAGGGCAAGTAGAATGGCTAGTAGCTCCTGGTCAAATGCCTAGACTCAAGCCCCACCTCTTCTGAGTAGCTCTGGCCTTGGGCAATTCACTTGAGCTCTCTGACCTCAAAACTTGGGCTTTCTAATATTTAAAAATTCTCCAGTATGACTGAACTTTGTAAGATATGAGCTGCCAGCCTCTCCCTCCTCCCATGAATTGTCGCATTGTGTGGGTTTGGAGTGAGACCCTCCCTGACAACTAGGATGGTTTTAAAAATCTTACCGGGGAATGCACTGAGGACCATGGGTGAGAAGCGCCTGGAGCCTGCTGCCCCTGCCCTGGGCCCCAGCCACCAAGGTGGAGTCTGTGTGTGTCTTGCTTCACCTTCTACCAGGTGCTCCTTTGCACCCTCCCACCTGCTTCGTCCGGCTTTGCTGGTTAAACCACCAGTGTCTTGCAGCTTTAGGAAGTATTATTCACTGGGCTTTTTGTTAGGGTTTCACATACAGGCAAACTGCAGTTCATAAGCAGCTTGTCGAGGCTTCTTTCCCTGGAACGGTCATGTTGCTGCCTATGGCTGGGTTTCCCCTCTGGCCTGCAGGAGCCCGTCCATTAAGGAGCTGGCGCATCCACGGTTGCATTTTCCAACTACCTGATGCAGTTCATGACAGCTGCTCTGTAAAATGCCGTTCCATGTTTCCCCTTGGACTCAGATGACCAGGACACACACAGCTTCTCCCGCCCTCGCCTTTCCATTGTGCCAGCAATATTTGAAGCTGATCCTCTGTCTGCAGCATTCATTCAATTTAAAACCTAACTCCAGGAAGCAAAGGAGAGAGGGCCTGTTCCATCACACAAGTGCCCCCCCCAAGCACCTTCCTCACCTCCCTTTTATTCCTGTTTGCTGCTTAACACGAATGCAGTCAGCCGCAGCAGCTGTCCACGTATGCCCTGACCCTGTACAAACACACGGCCACCGTGGACGGCAAGACTGTCCTTGTGGGTGAGCAGCACGGGGCCCAGCCAGCCGACTCTCAAGGGGGAGGAGAGGGGAGGGGGAGGGGAGAGAAGGTCCCTGAGAGAGAGTAAAGCAGGGAGGAAATGAGACCCCAGGCAGGGAAGACCCTGAGAACCAGAGGGCCAGGGAGGGCGGGAGGCAGCACTTGGACCCGGTGTTCTCATTTAGCCAGTGTAAAAAAATACAAATGTGATCTGAGTATTATCTTCCTCGGGGTTTTGACTTTCCGCGAGGTCACAGCCTTCCCCTTGGCCAGGCCACACATCCTGCCTGTGTCCATCTGCTGTCACCACTCTCGGAAAGTCTGCCCAGTTTTGACATTGGAGGGTCCTGTATTTTGTGGGTGGAGGCAAGGGGGGCACCTACCTTCTCCCTCTTCGGGCTTCCTGCCTGCATTCTTCTTCCTCTTGGCCCTGGGCCTGTGTCTCCCTCTCACCCACGCCCACGGGCATACACAACGCCTCTCACACACCAAGGTGATCGTGTCCTAATGACACACACGTGCGAGCTGCGTGGTCTCCATTCCGCCCATCCTCCCCACGTGTGTGTTGTTTCTGCACTCAGAGACCTGCACAGAGGTGCTTAGGGTGCCCAGGTCTCCGCCCTCCAGCCCCTGTCAGTCAGAGCTGTGTTCTTATTGCAGACTTTTGGGACACAGCAGGCCAGGAGCGGTTCCAGAGCATGCACGCCTCCTACTACCACAAGGCCCACGCCTGCATCATGGTAGGAGGCCAGCCTGGAGGTGGACAGAAGCTGGGCAGGTCTGGCCTAAGGGGTGAGGGGGTGAGGGGCTTAGCCCCACTGAGCCCTCCCCACCAGGGCTGGGTGCTTGGGGAGAGGGGACCGGCGCAGCCTGGGGACCCTTCAGAATGTACGTGCTCCCTGGAGGTTCTGAGTGAGAGCTTGCCAGGTGCACTCCTCTTCAGGCGGGGATGGGAGAAGAGCCACCATGCTAGGGGAGGGGCAAGTTCAGGGCTCCAACGTGAGACAGAGCATCTAAGAGGCAAACACGGGGGGCCAGCTCCGTGTCGTGGTGGTTGAGTTCGCCACGCTCTGCTTTAGTGGCCTGGGTTTGCGGGTTTGGATCCTGGTCATGGACCTGTACCACTTGTCAGCCACGTCGCGGCAGCAACCCACATACAAAAGAGAGGAAGATTGGCACAGATGTTAGCTCAGGGCCAATCTTCCTCACACAAAAAAAGGAGAAGCAAACAGTCCCTCCGTGATGGAGCCCAGCTACTCAGACAAGCTCCCAAGGCTGTCCTCAGACGTCACCTGGTGCTGCTCTCTAGGGGCAGACACGCGCTGAGTGGACTCTGCGGTTCCCAAGGAACTTACCTTCCCAAACCAGCCCCTCTTTTCCCTCCCAGCTCTCACTTTGCTGTCTGGAACACAGTCCTCAGGGGTCCACCCAAGTAGCCGGGGGTAGTAAGTCCCATAAGAGGGCCTGAAACTCAGCCATGGGAAGGACCAAGAAAGGAGGCGAGCTGTGTAAACCTGTGTCCCTAGGACCTCCTGCCTATGAACTCCCTGGCTCCATCCTCGGGCCCTACTGTCCTTTAAGCACAAGAGCCCTTGGGATTTTCCAAAATTTTAATACTAGTACCTGTAAGGGGACAAAACAAAAGAGGGTAACAGGGTAGTGTCCAAAGTCGTACTTGAAGTCTTGCATAGTCAACATCTCTGACCCTTGAGACTGGGGAGGGTGGGTCCCAGCTGTTTCTGTTTCCGTTCTGCACTGGCACTTGGTGCTTTGAGCTCACCTCTCTTTTATCTCTGGGAATGACCTCCTCCTGCCTCTGACACATCTCCATTGGCCCCTTTTGGACCCTTTTCAGAGGCCCAGGGGTGTTTCTCCTGCCAGCCGGGGTTCCACTCTCCCCCTTGAAACCCTGATGGGGATGCTCCTCGTCCCAGCCAGCTCCTCCTCAGCTCTCAAAACAAGGAGAGGAAGCTCAGGAACCCAAACCTAGACAAAAGGGACTGTTTGATGGTGATCATGGGAGGCAGCCTGGTGTGAAGCAGGTTCCAGAAGTTCCACTACAAGCGTGCTTTATGAGAAATCTTTCTGGGAATTGAAGACAGCATGGTCATTTGCTGAAATGGGGCCTGGGGAGTAGCATGGAAGAGCTTCCCAGGTGGACCTCCTGCTGCCTCGGGGTGTGAAGGCTGCTGACCCATGCCCACCACCACGTGGGGCAGCCCCTGGCCCTGGGTGTGGTCCATGCTGCTCCCATGAAGGACTGGGTGGTTGAGAAGTGAGATCAGCCGCTCCAGGGGGTTTCAGGGCTGTTCATCTCAGTCCACTGTTGTGCTGGGCAGTTTGGGCCTCTGAGTCTTCTGGAGAACGGCTTGGAAGCAGGAGGCTGGCTTCTGAGGAGCTCCCGTGAGAGGCTTGAAGGATCCCTGCAAGGGAGGAAGGAGCAACTTGAAGTGTCTTAGGATTGCTGGCCTCCCTGCCCTTAGAGAAGTCCATGTGCTCATGCTTCTTGTTGATACTTTAAAATAGGTAAAAGCTATAAATTATAGGAAGTTAATAAAAGTATGATAAGCTACAAAATAACAGATAAAAATTACTTTTAAAAAGTTTAAAACACAAAATGAATAGGAAACTGGTGCAGCCACTATGGAAAGCAGTATGGAGATTTCTCAAAAAATTAAAAATAGAAATACCCTATGACCCAGCCATCCCACTACTGAGTATCTATCCTAAGAACTTGAAGTCAGCAATTCCAAAAGTCCTGTGCACCCCTATGTCCATTGCAGCATTATTTACAATAGCCAAGATGTGGAAGCAACTTAAGTGCCCATCAACTGATGATGGGATAAAGAAGATGTGGTATATAAATAGAATGGAATACTACTCAGCCATAAAAAGGGATAAAATCGTCCCATTCACAATAACATGGATGGACCTTGAGGGTATCATGTTAAGTGAAATAAGCCAGATAGAGAAAGACAATCTCTGTATGACTCCACTCATATGTGGAAGTTAAACATGTAGACAAAGATAACAGATTAGTGGTTACCAGGGGAAAGGGGGCGTGAGGAGTGGGCACAAAGCATGAAGGGGTGCACCTACAACATGACTGACAAACAATAGTGTACAACTGAAATTTTACAAGGTTATAAACTAGCATAATCCTAATAAAAAGTAAAAAAAAAAATACAAAATGAATAGGAAATTAAACAAAAGCTTAAAATTAAAAGGAAGTCAATAGTAACTAAAGGAAAATTCTAGTATTTAAAATTATTACAAAGGAATTTTAAACCAAGCTTAAGCAGTTAAGAATAGACTAGGAAAAATCTTCACAATTTGTAACAGACTATACTGATTAGTAAAATTATGCAACTTTGTTAAAATGGGTAAATAAGCTTAGGTGACAAGATAACAAAAACATGAATAAATATTTTAACACTTTTGGATCTGGAGTTCTAGAGGGCTTCCCTGTCAGGGGCTGCAGCTCAGAGCAGGTGCCCAGTCCAGGATCGCAAACCTGTGGCACATGCCCATGCTCAGCTGCCTGTGCGAGTCACCTGGGGGTGGCCTGCAGATACGACGGCACACCTGAGCTGTCTTCCTTCTCTGCTCTTTGCAGGTGTTTGATGTGCAAAGGAAAATCACCTATAAGAACCTAAGCACCTGGTATGCGGAGCTTCGAGAGTTCAGGCCAGAGGTCCCATGCATCGTGGTGGCCAATAAAATTGATGGTGGGCGTCAGCACTTCATGGGGGACCCACCACCACACGCTTCCTCCTCCTTTCCTGGGGCAACAAACCTTTCCATCCTCCTTCCCAAGATAAAGCCTTTGGTTGCTTGCCATCACTTCCCTTCCCGGTAAAAATGTCAACTGAGCCAACCTGCCCTCTTCCCAAGGCACAGATCCCCATTAAATGAACTCTTTCAGGGCACATCCCCTGACTGTCCCTGCTCATCCCAGTTTCTGGAATGGGGGCTTCCTGTGACCTACCCTGCAAAACCCTCTCCCTTAATGGACAGGCCAATGTCCTGCCTTCTCTCTACAGCAGACATAAAGATGACCCAAAAAAGCTTCAATTTTGCCAGGAAGTTCTCCCTGCCCCTGTATTTTGTCTCGGCTGCCGATGGTACCAACGTCGTGAAGGTAATGGTAGACTGCAGGTCATTCTAGTGAGGTCAGGGAAGGGCAGGTTGGTGAAGTGACTGGGGACGCTACGAAGAGAAGGGCTGTCTTCAGGGATGTTGGAGGATGGGGATTGTTGTGGGGACCATGAGTGGGCATGTAAGTGTTGACAGTGGAGGAGGTGATGGGCCTGGGCTTGGTGAGGAAAAAGTTCATGCATCAGGGTGATGAGGAGAAGGTGACTTGAGGGGTGACCTTGCTGATTTTAGGGGTGGAGTGTTGCGTGGACTTAGGATTGGGCCTGTGGGTACAGTGCAGGCCAAGTACAGGGAAGCAGTACCCACTGCCATGTCTTCCTTCCTACCACCTCCCCCCAGCTCTTCAATGATGCAATTCGATTAGCTGTGTCTTACAAACAGAACTCCCGGGACTTCATGGACGAGGTTTTGCAGGAGCTTGAGGTGGGTTCAGGCCCAAATGTCAGATGGGATAGAGAAAACGGCTTCTCATCAGAGGGGTGTGGAATATAACCCAGTAGAGTGGCTCTTGCCTGCCTTTGCAGGCTGTACATGGTCATTATGCGCACCGCCCCTGGGAGTATCAGGGAGTTGGGCAAATTCAGGGCCAGGCCTCACCTGCAACCTTGTTCACAGAACTTTGACTTGGAGCAGAAGGAGGAGAATGTGTCGGAGCAAGAGCAGCGTGGCAATGTCGAGAGCCCATCTGCTTCCTGAGTCAGAGAAGGAGGCCTCTCTCCAGGGCCAACTTGTTGGGTAGGGGGAGAGCTTTCAGAATACCCCTCCCTCCCCCAACCCTCTAGCTTGGACCTGAGGAACTCTTCCAGGCCATCCCCCACTCTACTTCCTGCAAACCCACCCATCCCGTTTGCCTCCGCCACTTCCATGGCCCATGATACCCCTCCACCGCTGTCGCCAGGGACAGGGATGGGGTCAGCACCAGCAAGTACCTCGACGGTGTAAGAGTTCCACAGCACACCCTGAAGCGGAATTAGGGATCAGCAGCATACCCGTCTTCCCAGGATCGGACAGTGAAGAGAATCAGGGAACATGCTTTGTGTGTGTCTTAAATAAAAGGAAATTTAGGTGTTTGTTTTAATTCCCAAAACTGACCTCAGGGTTTAGTCACGGCATTTCCACTAAGGGAATGACTTCTAATCCTGAACCACCCCCGTTCCCACCCCTGTGGAATTGGGGAGGCCTCCATCCTTTTTTCACATGGTCTCCCATTCTTTTTCCTCTTTAGTCCCCAACCAGCTTTTTTTTTTTTTTTTTAAAAAGGGTTGAGCGGAAGGAGCTCGTCCAGGTGCAGCCAGTACGTTGGTGAACAGTGAGGCTGCAGCCACAGGCACACAAGTGAAAGCAGGTTACAGATCTAGCCATCCTCACAGTACACAGACATCACTGTCACTAACACCAGGGTCAGTACAGCCATACAACAAGGCACACCCATTTGGTTGGAAGAAATTAAGAACAGCTTCCTTTAAAAGCCCTATTTCAGCATGTGAGGCTTTCCCTCCTCTTTTGAGGACCAGTGTGGACATCGTGCCTCCTCCGTGGCGAGGGCTGCAGATGGACACACTGCCGCTTTTTCCACTTCTCGCTAGTACTTGTGGTCTGCTGTTGTTTTTATGACCATCTTGTGCATCATTTCCATTGTTTATATTTTTTGTTTTCTTTTTTACAGTAAAGGTTGAATTACATAAACCTTGAGTATATGTGCACGCTTTGTGGGTGTGGATTTCACTGAGCAAAAAGCCACCAAAGAACTTGTAGGTCATCAACTACATGAATGGGGGTGACTGTCTTGATCTGTCATGCAAGGGTAACCCAGGTTGACTCTTGATTTACTGTAACAGAGACCATTTCAGTGGAATTTGATGTTAAAAAAATGGGGGGGGGAGCGCCAGCATGGTGGCATAGTGGTTAAGTTCACACACTCCACTTTGGCAGCCTGGGGTTCGTGGGTTTGGATCCCGGGTGTGGACCTACACATTGCTCATCAAGCCATGCTGTGGTGATGTCCCACATACAAAGTAGAGGATGATTAGCACAGATGTTAGTGACAATCTTCCTCAAGCAAAAAGAGGAAGATTGGCAACAGATGTTAGCTCAGGGCCAATCTTCCTGACTAAAAAAAAAAATGGATTGATTTGAGAGTTGAGAACAAATGATTTTCCCCTTTAAATACTGATACTTAAAATTTCACCTTAAGAGATTTAAAGTGACCAGGGGTTTTCAGGAGTGCATTACCCTGGTGAGGTAGGCTTTTAAAAACAACAGTAAGAAAATAACCCTTTAGATGTTAGCTCAGGGCCAGTCTTCCTCACCAAAAAATAAGCCTTTAGTTATTATAAATAATGTGTTTTTATATAATGGCTTTATTGAGATATAATTCAAATGCCATAAATTCACCATCAGTATTGGTTTTACATGAACCTTTTGCATTAGGTTCCCTAGAAGCAGAGCCTGAGAAGGCAATTCTTGTTCCAATGACTCAATGGGGCGGTTCTCTCAGGAGAGAGACTGAGTGGAGCAGGAGTGAGCAGGAGGCGGGAAGTTAACAAGGTTATGGTCTCAGCTGGAGGCTTCAGTCTCCCTTCCCCTGCCCAGGGGAGCTCTGAGGGCAGACTGCGCCACAGAGTGGGTCCCACTTTGAGACCAGGGGCTTTTTGTGCAAGTCAGCCAAGTGTTAGAGAAGTAGGTAGAGGGGGCGGTTTGTAGCCTCCAGGGCAAACTGGCTCCTGTTTTAGGGAGGGCAATTCTGGGGGGAAAGGGCAGCTACGAGTTATCCATTAGCACTCAAAGCAATTGAGGGATTAGTGCTCAGGCTGGGTGCCAACCTGTCCTTACAATGTTCGGCTCCACCTGCTTCTTAAAGTCCATTCCATCCTAACACAGGGAACACCACTCCTAAATCTTTTTTGAAATAATTTGAGGTAAAATTTACAAAACGTAAAATTAACTATTTTAAATTAATGCAGTACCATTTACAGTTACAATGTTGTGCAACTATCGCCTCTATCTAGTTCTAAAACATTTTCCATCATTCAAAAGTAAAACCCCTTACTCATTAAACAGTTTCTCCCCAATACCCTCTCCCCTCAGCCCCTGGCAAATACTAATCTGCCTTCTGTCTCTATGGATTTATCTATCCTGGAAATTTTATATAAACAGAATCATGCAATATAGGACCTTTGGTGTCTGTCTTCTTTCGCTTAGCATAATGTTTTCAAGATTCATCCATGTATCATGTACTTCATTCCTTTTTATGGCTGGATACTGT